CTAGACAATACAACTGTTAGGTGGATTAGTAACTGGTTGACTGACTTATGGGGATCCTAAGGCAAACCTATCACGGGTTTTCTGAGGCTGAGAGTGTATGACTCGCCCAGGGTCACCCATTGGTCTCCATGGCTGAGTGGGACTTCATAACCATGTATTCTTCAGTTACATGGCACATACATTTTTGTCTTTATGGAGGGCCCATAGCCTCAAAATAATAAAAGGGAAAGTTTTTCAACTCTTAAATAAAGGACATACCTTATATAAGGGACACGTAGCAGCACTACTCCTCACCCCAGTTGTATTTTTAATTTCAGCATTTGGTCATTCTTTCCCTTTGGAATTTCAGGTGGAGGGAAGATTTTCTGCAGGTCTTCTTTCTCTTTGAAATGTAAAGGGGTTGGGGTAAGGGAAAACATTTGCTGTACTTCTTTTTCTCAGACATAAAATGATTTATTTCTGTAGTTATTTTAATATGAAATCTCTGTGTTTTTGTATTGACACTTACTATGTTACTGTGGCTTCATTTTCTACCTTTTTACTACTACACTTGAAAATCCTAAAATATTTATGTGATATGCATGTTTGTGGATTGGAGCCACTTCATCAGGTGCATGAATCTTGTCTAAAACTAGGAATACATTTTTAAGTATCATTTGACTGTGAGAAGGAGCACCTTTGGGCATATAAGAGGTAAATTTCCCTAGGGGTGGAAGAGATGTACAAATAACCCTCTTGAGCATTTTGAAGTTTTAAGGCATGGAGTGTGGCGTCTGCATGCCTTTGAGCCCCAGCAACATCCTTTGCTTTATAAATTACACTGTTGGCTTTGGCTACTCCCCTTCTTCCATTTTTCACCAACATGGTGTGCTTCAGTTTTGAAAGCACAGAAGTGTTGGGTTCCGGATCATGGCAACACATTGATTTTATTTATATCTTTTTCCCTTCCAAAGGGCTTAAGATGGTGAGCTGAGCTAATCAGTCTCAATTAACATTGATTAAATGGTCATCTTACCCTGTTCTTGGAGATGGAGAGGCAGTTTGAATAAAGAAGTTTTACATTATTTCCGGAGGATGTCCAGAATTAATGGATGTGGATTGATTACCTTTTAAGCCACCTTCCACATTTCAACTTAGTGAATGGTTTGGAAAGTGTTTGATATAGTTGTTTGTTGTGTGCCTTGATGTAATTTCTGATGAATGACCATCCTAAGGTGAACCTATTACCAGTTTTTCTTGGCAGAATTTGTCCAGAAGGGGTTTGCCCCTTGTCTTCCTCTGAGGCTGAGAGAGTGTGACTTGCTCAATGCCCATACTCAGCTTCATGGTTTTCCAGTGTCCTAGTCACATGCGCCAGAGGCAGCTGAAGGCTAGGGACAGTGGGGGGGGGGGGGGAAGGAGAAAGAAGAGGTGCACACCTGTTCCTCTTCTTCTCCCTCCACCCTGGCCTTCAGCTGTCTCTGGAGGGGCAGCTGAACAGGGG